AGGATCGTGGCCCCATAGGGAGCTCCACCGAAGGCCCCAGTGGCAGGGTTCGCATGGCGGCCTCAGGCCATTTCGGCACACCCCTCACGAGGATCGTGGCCACATAGGGAGCTCCACCGAAGGCCACCAGTGGCAGGGTTCGCATGGCGGCCTCGGGCCATTTCGGCACACCCCTCTCGAGGATCGTGGCCCCATAGGGAGCTCCACTGAAGGCTCCAGTGGCAGGGTTCGCGTGGCGGCCTCGGGCCATTTCGGCACACCCCTCACGAGGATCGTGGCCCCAAAAGGGAGCTCCACCGAAGGCGCCAATGGCAGGGTTCGCATGGCGGCCTCGGGCCATTTCGGCACACCCCTCACGAGGACCGTGGCCACATAGGGAGCTCCACCGAAGGCCCCAGAGGCAGGGTTCGCCTGGCGGCCTCGGGCCATTTCGGCACACCCCTCACGAGGATCGTGGCCACATAGGGAGCTCCACCGAAGGCCCCCAATGGCAGGGTTCGCATGGCGGCCTCGGGCCATTTCGGCACACCCCTCTCGAGGATCGTGGCCCCATAAGGAGCTCCACTGAAGGCTCCAGTGGCAGGGTTCGCGTGGCGGCCTCGGGCCATTTCGGCACACCCCTCACGAGGATCGTGGCCCCATGGAGAGCTCTACCGAAGGCCCCAGTGGCAGGGTCGCATGGCGGCCTCGGGGCATTTCGGCACACCCCTCACGAGGTTCGTGGCCCCACTGGAGCTCCACCGAAGGCGCCAGTGGCAGGGTTCGCATGGCGGCCCCGGGCCATTGCGGCACATCCCTCACGAGGATCGTGGCCCCATAGTTGTGCTGCTTCAACAACCGCGCCTGGGCCCCGTACTCCGCCTTGTCGACGTGCAACGCCACCTCCTCCCTCATGGCTCTCAAGGCCCTCTCCTGCTTCTGCTCCTCGGTGAGAGGGACGCCGTGCCGTCCTTGTCGTCGTCGGCGCCCGCGAAGACGGCCACGAACGTGTCCCTGAGCATGTCGGGCTCCGGCGGGAAACCGTGGCCACATAGGGAGCGCGGGCGAAGATGGCATTCACAATTGCGGCATTCACAACTGCATATGGTTGGGTCCTTCTCCAGGATAATATTTTCAATCCGAGCGGGTCATCCTCACCCGTGTAACTGTCGTCACCTTTGGGTCTCTGAGGCTTGCGTTTGGAGGAAGTCTCAAGCGGGAGGCTCCTTTGTGAGTGAATTGCGAGGGAGGCGGAAACCCTTTCCCTATGGGGCTCGCACTTCATGTGTCTAATCCGAACGTGTCGCCCTCACCCGTGTAACTGTCGTCATTTTTGGGCCCTTGAGGCCTGAACATGGCGGGAAATATCAAGCGGGAGCCTCGTTTCTGAGTGAATTGTGAGGAAGTCTCAGGCGGGAGCCCCCTCCTTTCAGGGCCCGCAGATCATGTTTTTGAGGAAGTCTTGGGCGGTAGCCCCCTCCTTATGGGCCCCCCCCCACTTTCTGTTTTTCCTAACCATCCTGTGGTGTTGGGTCCTCGTTTTGAAGAGACAGCGCCCCGCGTCTCGTCCCGCTGCTCCCTCCCCCCTCCCCCTCATCCCTGCGTTTCACCCACCCAGCACAGCGCTTCGTAGCCCCATAGGGAGCTCCACCGAAGGCCCCCAGTGGCAGGGTTCGCATGGCGGCCTCGGGCCATTTCGGCACACCCCTCACGAGCATCGTGGCCCCATGGGGAACTCCACCGAAGGCTCCAGTGACAGGGTTCGCACGGCGGCCTCGGGCCATTTCGGCACACCCCTCACGAGGACCGTGGCCCCATAGGGAACCCCACCGAAGGCGCCAGTGGCAGGGTTCGCATGGCGGCCTCGGGCCATTTCGGCACACCCCTCACGAGGATCGTGGCCCTCAAAGGGAGCTCCACCGAAGGCGCCAGTGGCAGGGTTCGCATGGCGGCCTCGGGCCATTTCGGCACACCCCTCACGAGGATCGTTGCCACATAGGGAGCTCCACCGAAGGCCCCAGACGCAGGGTTCGCATGGCGGCCTCGGGCCATTTCGGCACACCCCTCACGAGGATCGTGGCCCCATAGGAAGCTCCACCGAAGGCCCCCAATGGCAGGGTTCGCATGGCGGCCTCGGGCCATTTCGGCACACCCCTCTCGAGGATCGTGGCCCCATAGGGAGCTCCACCGAAGGCCCCCAGTGGCAGGGTTCGCATGGCGGCCTCGGGCCATTTCGGCACACCCCTCACGAGGATCGTGGCCCCATAGGGAGCTCCACTGAAGGCTCCAGTGGCAGGGTTCGCATGGCGGCCTCGGGCCATTTCGGCACACCCCTCACGAGGATCGTGGCCCCATAGGGAGCTCCACCGAAGGCGCCAGTGGCAGGGTTCGCATGGCGGCCTCGGCCATTTCGGCACACCCCTCACGAGGATCGTGGCCCCATGGGAGCTCCACCGAAGGCGCCAGTGGCAGGGTTCGCATGGCGGCCTCGGGCCATTTCGGCACACCCCTCACGAGGATCGTGGCCCCACTGGAGCTCCACCGAAGGCGCCAGTGGCAGGGTTCGCATGGCGGCCCCGGGCCATTGCGGCACATCCCTCACGAGGATCGTGGCCCCATAGTTGTGCTGCTTCAACAACCGCGCCTGGGCGTCGTACTCCGCCTTGTCGACGTGCAACGCCACCTCCTCCCTCATGGCTCTCAAGGCCCTCTCCTGCTTCTGCTCCTCGGTGAGAGGGGCGCCGTCCTTGTCGTCGTCGGCGCCCGCGAAGACGGCCACGAACGTGTCCCTGAGCATGTCGGGCTCCGGCGGGAAACCGTGGCCACATAGGGAGCGCGGGCGAAGATGGTATTCACAATTGTGGCATTCACAACTGCATATGGTTGGGTCCTTCGCCAGGATAACGTTTTTAATCCGAGCGGGTCATCCTCACCCGCGTAACTGTCGTCATTCTGGGGCTCCCGAGGCCTGAATATGGAGGAAATATGAGGCAGGGATCCTCGTCTGTGAATGTACTGCGAGGAAGTCTCAAGCGGGAGTCCCCTCCTTATGCACTCTTCAGAAGGCGATTCGCCCGACCCACCACGTGAGGAGGAACAGGAGGTGAGGACGACGACGGCGGCTGGGCGCAGGGGGGAACCCTTGCGTCTGGGCCGGGGGTGGTAACCGCATGAGCGCGGCCGTGACTAGCTCGGTGCCTGCGGGGTTGTCCCAACGGCTTGCTCCCGCGCCCCAGCGGCTCGCGCGGTTGCCCCAACGGCCTGGCCCGCGGGGTTGTCCCAACGAGCGCGCGACGCGGCCATTCGAGAATGCGCCCGCGCTGGCCGAGGCGGCGACGGCGTCGAGGAAAATCGGCACGCGCGCTCTTGCAATAGACAGCAGAGGAGGTGGTGGGTGACGAAACAAGCAGCAGGAGGGCGAGGCAAGGCCAACGGTGGGAGCGGGTGAGGGCCCTGCGCCAGGGCGAGAATAAGAATGACACAGAGAAGACAATAAGGGCGCCGCACTAATCACTAATCGCGAGGACGACAGTGAAGGTCATTCACAGATTCGCCGAATGGATGATTATGTGGGTCTCCCGTCGGAGTAATTTTTGAAACTGGTATTGGGGTTCCTCGTCCTCCTCCTCTTCTTCCTCCTCCTCCCCGTATGGATGTCCTCAGGAGCCCGATGGATGGGTTAAGGAATCTTAGGGATTGCCGAAGGAACCCGATGGTTCCCCAAAAGAGTTCCAATGGGTTTCTTAAGACTCCGAATGAACGTCCAGGACCATCTTTATCATCATCATCATCATCATCATCATCATCATCATCATCATCATCATCGTCATCATATTCCTCATTATGCTGCGATATACGGGAAAACGTGTTTATCCTTCCTGGACCCCGAATGTGATTATCCCCCGGGGATTAATACCAGGAGCACAGGGTTATCGAACCGAAACAATGTTCACTTGTCGGGCCTTTCGAGGCGATACTCGTTCGGCACTGCGCCAACATGTTGGGCAGACGCTGTTTCGATACTTTCCAGGCTGCTCGAAATTATTGTTGGGATGTGGTTTTTAAGTACGATTGGAACAACATACCGCGTGGGCTGACCCCCATCCGTCCTTTACTAATCCCCCCCTTTCGTCCGACCCGAGATGCGGTTCGATGTGGGGTCTGATTTTTATCCGCGCGGGCGGCGCCGATGCATCACCGGCATCGCTGGTGCATCGGCGCTGCATCTCCGACCCGTAGCCGTAGCCGGTGCATCGACGAGGCGCGATCCTCCGACCCCGTCCACTCGTGCCCGATGTGGGCGCCCTACAAATAGATGGGATCCTCTTGGGAATCATAGCTCCCGGCTCGCCAGAGCGGTGCGACGCCGCGGAACACGGCGCCGCACCGCGCGGTGCCGCTCGACACCGAGTTCTTCACCGAGCGGCGTTGGGCGGTGTGTCGCGGTGCGGCTTTGCCAGTCGTTTTTTCGCAAAGGTTCCCGCGGATCGGCCGCGTAGCGTCGACGGCGATCGACGGCGACGATCGGAGCCCCAGACACCCAACGCCCCGAATCAGATCCCGGCCTTCACGCTTCGCCGCTCGCGGCCTCCAGAGGCCTGCTGCTTCGGGCTCTCCAGGCCCGTCACGAAACGGCTCGCAGGGCGAAACGCGGGCCTCGGGGAGAGGGGTCGGGCATTGCGGGGGCCCCGCCTCGAGTAAGTTCCAGACATCGAGTGCCAAGGGTATAGGGAATCGCCTCGCGGCACGAGGGAATCCAGATCAACCCCATCGCTCCTATCAGCGCTTGCGGGCGTGATGCGAATTCCCCGAGCCGGAGCTGCCCCTCAGGCTTATCCGCGTCTTCGTGGCCATGGCCTACAGTTCCGTTGCCATCCACATCCTAATCCTTGCCTCCGCTGCTGTCCGTAGCCTGCCAGGCCCAGTTGCCTTGGCAGAAGAGCGAGCCCCCTCATTGCCACCGCGCTAACCTGGCGGTCGCAGCGGGGTTCCTTCAAACTTGCCATATAGAACCAGTGACGATGACGTTCCATGGTACTCTTGCGGGGCTGGTGCTGCTCTGGCTGCGCGCCGACGCACTGTCGCTCCTGGAGACGAGCCCGCCCCGCCTGCAGGACGGTGCTGCTATCGCTCCGGCGAATCAGGCCCTCCACGATCGTCCCGAGCGCCAGCGCACGTACAGGAGGGTCACCGAGGGTGACTCTGCCGAGGTCCTGGAGCACCTGGAGGCGTACCGCCTGGCTGGTCAGCTGATTGGCCAGGCTCAGAACATGTACCACTCGAGGCGCGTCCTTCTCGTCTTAATCTTTCTCACTGTTCTCATCCCTAGTTATGCTCCCCCTCGCCCATCGCGTGGCCATCCTCCGTCTCACCCTCCTTCGCGTCTTCGCCCTGCACCTCAGCACGCACAGCTCGAGGCACATCCTGCAGTTCGTGATGTCGCACCCCGAAGCCCCAGTGCTGCCCCCAGGCGGATGCCTTTACCTCCCGACCGACGGAGTTTGGACATCTTTTTATCAGCACGTGGAGCACCCGTTCCCCGATCTCTTCGCGGAGATGATCGCCAACTCGTATTATCCCAGTTGCAACGAGACGTCGCTTTCTGGCCTGAGGCTCCCGGCTTCGTGCGGCGGCAGGGCCATGCGGGGCTCCAGGGGGTGTTTCGAGGTGAACAGCCTCGGCAGCACCGCCAGCATCGAGGTCTTCGAGACCACTGGCCACGTCGGCCTGCCGTCCAAGTGGTCCTACCACATCGAGAACTCGAGGCCGCACCAGCTGAGGCACGCGAAGGGGGGCGAAGAGGACGCCTCTCTCAGCCGCTGCGGCATGTCGGACGAGCTGCCCGAGGTCTCTAGCGCCAGAAGGCTGGAGATTCCCACGAGGTACGTGGTTTGCCGGAAATCAGACGCCGATAAGAGCATAACCGAGGACATGATCCGGGAGCAGAACAGGTGGGCGAACGAGGCTTTCAAGGGCGAATCGCCCTGGGAGGAGATGTCTTTCGACAAGGGTCAGCATCCGGCTGCCGTGGACATGCAGATGAGCTTCAAGCTTGTAAACATCTCGATAATAACCGACCCTGATTGTGCTAGGTATGGGTTCACAAATACAGCCCGATTGCACGGTTACAAGATGGGGCCCAGGAATCGATCCTCGATGTTGTCCAGCTGCCAGCGGCAGGCCCCGCCACTGCGCCGACGCAGCATCCATCCGACGCAGCACTCATCACGAGTGCGTGACCACCAAACGCCCCGAGCACAGCCTTGGCATCGCTCGGACGTGTGCATTTTTCCTTCGTCGAGGACCATCGAGGAGCATCCTTGATCATTTGGCGAAGAAGCCGAGCGATGGCCAGTGACCACCAAACGCCCCGAGCACAGCGTTGCTCCGATTACTTCGGAGGTGGTAACCAGGGGGTGGCGCATGGCGCGGCCTTCTAAGAAGGCGGGAGGTGGGCGGGACCCCTTAGAAGGCAGGGGCCTTCTCAGAGGGGCCTCGAGTCTCCTGAGGAGTCTTCTTAGAAACCAGGAGGGGTTCTAAGGATGCCCCTGCCTTCTCAGAAACACCCCCGCCCTCGCGCCTCCCTGAGATCTGGTGCCACGATACATACAATGCCGTAAACACGTGACAGGGGCTTTGGGTTTAATTCATCTGCTGCACTTTTTGCGCGGGATCGATCCGTGAGTGCCCCCGGGCCCGACGCAGCGCAAGCTTCGCCCGTTGGGAAACATGTGACGCCCCAGGATCTCAGGGTTCTTAGAAGACCCCCCCTCGCGCCACCCTCTTCCGCGAGCGGCAACTTAGTGAGGGTGCCTTGGATCGTTTGGTTGGTTTCGCGTGCGGTGCGCCTCCACGCGTGTGCGGGAGGGAAGACTGTGTGCCTCGGCTGTGCGCCGCACGTGCAGCTTCGAGCATGGCGCAACTGCGCTGCAAGTCGCAGTCCAATCCCAGGCCCCCACGCGTAGTGAAAGAACACGACGGGCTTGTTCGATCTTTTGCGCCGTTGGGGGGGGGGCCCTCGCCGGGACCCAGGACAGTCAAAACACGGCTCAAGATGAGAAGCCGCTCCCGTGTAATGGGTCGAGGTCTTGGGCGGTCGACGTCCTGAGCAGCATCGCGAGGTTGGACGTGTGGGGTTCAATCCTTCGGCGCAACCCGCTGATGCCCTCTCTGCGTGGGACCGGCCAGCCGCGAAGCACAAGTCTGGGGTTCGATTGCGCTGCGCGGGGGGAGCGAGCCCATTCCTTCTGGGACGGTCTCTCTCCACGCTTGCGTGCCAGAATCCGCGGCCGCCCTCTTCTGCCCCTCCCCCCCCCTGTTTGCCTGCGGGACAATCCGCAACTCCGCAGCCCGGAGATGCTCCACGCGCGAGCGGATCGCCTCTGCCGCGCCGCGACGGGAAAACGAGAGGTTCCCCTTTGTTCGGAGTGTCAGACTGGCCCTGTTCGGGGGGTCGGGCGAGAGGCGGGCTGCCTGTTCCCTCTGTATGCAAGGGCGTTTCAATGTGGCGCCCAGGCAGGATCTCGGATTGTGCTCGGTCAGAACGGGCGATCGGGGAACAAATCATTAGACAGCTCGCCGCTTGAGCCCCACCGCCAGCCCAAACGGCGAGCATAAATCGGGCGTATCCCCGCACGCATTCGAATGCCCACTTTTCGTCCTCGTGCTACTCGTATTCCTCCCCGTCGTCCTCCCCGTCTCCTTTTCCTCCTCCTGCTCATCCTTCTTCTCCTGGCACCTAGGTTGCGCCATAGCATGCGCCCTCGGCGGCCGAGAATCAAAACCGTCTCCGATCGGTTGCGCCATAGGGTGCGCCCTCGGCGGCCGAGAATCAAAACCGTCTCCTATTGGTTGCGCCATAGGTTGGGCCCTCGGCCGCCGAGAATCAAAACCGTCTCCTATTGGTTGCGCCATAGGGTGCGCCCTCGGCCGCCGAGCACAAAACCGTCTCCTATTGGTTGCGCCACAGGTTGCGCCCTCGGCCGCCGAGAATAAAACCGTTTCCCATCGGTTGCGCCATAGGTTGGGCCCTCGGGTTCGGAAAATAAGACCGTCTCATATTTGTTGCGCCATTGGTTGCGCCCTCGGCCGCCGAGAAGAAAACCGTCTCCCATCGGTTGCGCCATAAGTTGCGCCCTCGGCCGCCGAGAATAAAACCGTCTCCTGTTGGTTGCGCGCCCTCGGCGGCCGAGAATCAAAACCGTCTCCTCTTGGTTGCGCCATAGGTTGCGCCGTCGGCGGCCGAGAAGAAAATCGTCTCCATTTGGTTGTGCCATAGGTTGCGCCCTCGGCCGCCTCGAAAAATTGATTCTCCCGTTGGTTGCGCCATAGGTTGCGCCCTCGGCCGCCGAGAGTCAAAACCGTCTCCTATTGGTTGCGCCATAGGTTGGGCCCTCGGCCGCCGAGAATCAACCCGTTTCCTATTGGTTGTGCCATAGGGTGCGCCCTCGGCCTCCGAGAACAAGACCGTCTCCTCTTGGTTGCGCCATGGGTGGCGCCCTCGGCCGCCGAGAATCAAACAGTCGCGTAACGGATGCGACCAGTCAGTGGTCAGTCAGTCAGTCTGTCAGTCAGTCAGTCAGTCAGTCAGTCGGAGTTTGTTTCGCGAGAATCAAACTTCGGGCTACGCCCGAAAAGAACAAGCGCGGTCAGAACGTCAGGCCGCCCCGCCCGTCGGCGGCAGCGCGCCGCGGGGGAAGCGAGAGAGGGCAGGCTTTTCTTAGAGGGCGGCGGCGCTTCTCAGAGGCCCTCTGGCCTTCCGAGGGGCCCCCCCGTGGCTCCGATGAGGGCTTCGAGAGCTCCTCAGAAGGCCGGACGCCTCTGGCTTGGCATCGCTCGGACGTGTGCATTTTTCTTGCGGCGAGGACCATCGAGGAGCATCCTTGATCATCTGGCGAAACAACCACGCACGAGACCGGAAAAAAACACAGGGAATGGAGGTCCGAGCGATGGCCAGCTGGAGCCTTCTGAGAAGGACTGCTCTTTCTGGCTTCCACCCTGGGCTCGCCGCCGATTTCTGTACGTCACACGGGCGCAGTCTTAGTCCTATCAGCCCTCTCGGCGTGCAGATGATCTAACGAACTCCTTTTCTCCTCTTTCACAACTGTCCCCTTCCCCGTCTGGGAGGGGTTGACCACTGTTCTCTACTAGTATACACCCCCTGCCCCAGGCGACCGGCAGCCAACCAGGAACAATGCCGACTCTATGATCCCGCCCCCCAGCCATCCCTGTCAAAAAACAGTGCGAAAACACTCTGCCTCCAATTTCGGAGCATGCGCAACCAACCCGATGCGGCCCCCCCAACCATCACGGCCCACAAACAATACAACGTACACTTCGGGGCAAAGTCTTGAGTCATCTTCGTGGGGCCCGCGAGCATTGTGTATTGTTTTTTACAGGGACGGCGGGGGTGTTAGCATATTGCCTGCTGTGGGCATCCCTGTCAAACAAAAACAATACAAAATGCACGTTGCGGCTAAATCTGGATCATGCGCGGCCACCTCGCGATCATTGACAAGTGGATGTTGACAGGGACGGCGGGGTGGTAGCGTATGGCCTTCTGTGCGCAGGCCGACCAAACACAATGATGGGCATTGGTTTTCGACGAGGATGGTGTGTGCCGACATGTTTTCCGACGTGTGCTGTCACGTGCGCAGGCGCACCTGACACACTCTGCTCGTACCTCAGACTTTGCGCAGCTGGCCCTGTTGGAGTACGCTCCACATATGGCACACGTGGCGCATCTGGCGCACCAGGCGTGTCTGGCACGCTCGGGCCCCAGGGGTGCCTGGCGCGCGTGGTGCGCCTAGCACGCGTGGCGCACCTCGCCCCAGCGTCGTGCACATGGGGTCGGTGTTGTTTCCCAGTAGCTGCCAATACAAAGACGACTGCTGAACATGCTGAGGATCGGGTGCGACTTATACGTTGGGAGGGCAGGTGGGAGTGAGCTAGACGGCCTGCTATCTAGGACGGTGTTTTGACCCCTCCCCCTACCCCGTCCCAAGGGTCTGCATGGGAGGGGGACGGAGGTGTCAGGGGGCTCTTTTTCGTCCAAGATGGTTACAATAGGGCTTCCGATGCCCGAAGATGGCCTCCACGATGGGTCAAGATAGCCGAATATGGTTAAATATCGCTTCCGACATACTTCCAAGAGGCTCCAAGATGGCCATTAGACGGCTCCAAGTGTTTTCGGAGCTACCAAAACTGACGGACATATCATCTGATCTTTGCCTTTTCGCCTTTTCGCGTCCGGTGGGCCTCTGACGCCTCAAGATGGCCCCGAGATGGCCCAAGAAAGCCCCAAGAGGTGCCAAAGAGGTCCCCCCCAGACGGCCCACAAATCACCCAAGAGCGCCCAAATAAGGTTTCAAGAGGGCCCCACGGGATGGTTTTGAGGGCTCTTGTTGGGGGTGGGGGGGGGAGGCCTAGATCAGGGACCCCCTCCCTTGGCCTCCAAGATGGCCCCAAGAGGCTTTCCAGGGCTCCCAAGAGGCCCCCAGCAGGGCCCCAAGTCCACCCAAGCGAGCCCCAAGGGTGCCCCAAGAGGGCCCCGAGAACGCCCCAAGCGGATCCCAAGAAGGCCTCAAGACGATCAGCTCTCATCGGCAGCGTTTCTGAATGGGTTGGTGGGAATACTTTTTTGGTTCGCGGCTCCAAGGCAAAGGTCAGGGAGCAAGCGCAGCGCGAAGAATTTCAGATGTGGTGGCGCCGCCCGGAAGCAAGGCCTGTGCCAGGGTTCGTTGTTCTCCAGCCGTGCGAGGTGAATTGTTGCTGGCCCGCGCTGTTGCGGGGTGGGGGGCGCGTGAGTAAGAATACCACCTTTGGAACAGTAGTGTAAGGTCGTGTCGAACAATCGTCCGGGGGACTTTCCGGTTTTCGACGGCCCCGGGGCCCGAAAACGGCCCCCAGAGACCGAAACCGATGAAAAACCGAGGGCGACGACAACAAGCGAATCGATTGTTAAAGTGGCATTGCCTTTTCCAGGGCATGGTAGGTGGAACAGATGTCCAAATTCCCAGTGCTTCCTTGGCCATGGCACGCCATGCGAGCGCAAAACATGTATGTAAGGTGGCTCTAGCGATTTATCCCGAAATGGCTCGGTAGAGCAACACGTTTGGCGTCGGTTGGGACATCCGCTGCGATATGGCAGCGTGGCGCGACAGTCATGATTCACGGCTGCTGTGCTGCCTTGTGGGAAGTTTTTAAGCGGGTGTGGGCCTAGAAGCTTTCCTTAAGGTTTCTTGTAGGCTCCTGGAGTGTGTCTTGCCTCTTGGGGACTTGCTGGCGTTTTTGGGGGCGTCTTGGGTGCTGTAGTCTAGCCGAGCACTCCCCGATCTGCTCAAGAGAACTTCTTTGGGGACATTTGGAATGGTTCGGCGCAGTCTTGGAGCCATTTTGGGACACTTGGGCCGTCTCGGGCTTGTCTTGTGGCGCCGTCCTAGGAGCTTCTTTGATCCAGCGGGGGCCGTCGTGGGTCAGAAACCTTCCTGTGCTAATCTTGCAGCCGACAGGCCGCTGAAGCGAAACCCACCGACTCCCCATGGAATCGCCGACGAGTTTTCAATGCCTGGCCTTTGATATCCCTAGGCTTCGCTTTGCTAGAAGCATATTGTGCCGTGTCAGGGGGCTCTAGTTGTGGCAGTGCTTGAGCAGGGCTCGACCTTAACGGTGTTCGGGCGATTTCGTAGGTCGTTTTAGTTTTGATTTCGTTTTGCAACGAAGGCGGACAAAACGAGGGACAATGGAAATATCACGAAAACGAGCAACAATCGTTATTGGCCTGCCTTGAGATATCCTGCAGACGTGGCGGGGCGACCTTTGGGCGTCTTGACGCCGTCTTGAGGCTTCGAAAGAGCGTCGGCAACAACACGTCGGCGGGCGATGCTCCGAAAATGCCTGCGACCATGATGTTTCCCCCGAAAGCTATTGGACCCTTGCCACGCAGCTAGGAGGCATTCTGAAACGTCGGCACGGAGGCAGATTCCTCCGCCAGAGGCCCCCACCAGTGTCCCCCCCCTTGTCCCGCTCTCCCATGCCATTTGCCTTGGGGAGAAATCACGGGAGCAAGAACTCACCCCGCGCCCCATGCCAGTCGCTTTCTAAATTGCTATGCGCTGTAGCGTAATAACAGCCCTGTCCTTTACAGTCCTTCCGCTTGGCGCGTTTACCAAAGGCCTTCCGTCGGCAGGTGGCTCTTCTGCCCTCCACGAGCGAGGCAGACGGAGGAGCTGGGGCAGCACGGGGCGATCGGTTCCGCAGCCCCACGATGCAGACCCGCAGAAGTATCCGAGCGGCCTGCGCCATTCCGCCGACCTCTAAGCTTCGGTGCGCCAGCCTTGGGGCCTGCTTCAGGCAGCTCGTGGGACCCTGCGGGCTCTTTTGGAGATTCTGCCAGGCCCTGAGATATTGGCGCCGATCTTGGTGCACAGTGGATGGTTTTCCTTGTTTCGGGCCTTGGGACCATCTTGGGTCGATCCCGCTCGAAATTGCAGCAGAATCGTGGAGTCCAGGGTTCGGTGGAGTTCTTCTGTGATGGTGCACTGTTTTGTGTCCTGTCGAGCTCACCCAACCCCGCCCGCAGGCTGGCTTGTGGACTCACGCGAACGGGGAACCGAGGGGAGGGTGGACAGGCCATCACACTGAGACATACGATGCCAATTCCGACACTTTCCGTTCCCCCAGAGTTTGCTTTTCATCCCGAGTCCTTTTCTGACGGTTCCGGGGACCAGCGAGGGCTCCCAGATGCCAACCCCTTTGCTTTGTTCGATACGCTTGAGTCTGAGTCTCACACGCCCTCTCCCCCGGCAGGCGCGGGGCGGCGCATTTCACCGTCGTCATCATCACGAACGACGCGTCCGGCGTCCTTGGCCAGACGGAGTTCCCGTTTGACATATCCGAGGACAGCAGGGAGCACATGGTCGTGATCTCGTCCGTGGGGTTCCGGCATTTCCACAGCCACAAGGAACCGCCGACGACGCCGCCGCCGCTGACGACGACGACAACGACCACCGCCACCACGATCACGATGACGACGACGTTGACGACGTTGACGACGACGACGACGACGACGACGACGACGACGACGACGACGACGACGACGACGACAACTGCGGCGACGACTGCGGCGACGACTGCGGCGACGCCGTCGTTTCGGAGGCGTCTGGGTCTGCTCTGGAGCTTTCCGTCCCCACGGCTGGGGGGCGGCCGGAATGCTTGTCAACCGCGGGCCCCAGACGGTCCCAGGACCGATCTTGAGCCACGAAGCTTGGCGGCGGCCAAGAGGAGCGTGATGACTGGGGGAGAGGGTCGGGGCCATGACATCTCCCCGGATCTCATGGTCCGTCCTCTTGTTTCAACACGTCCACTGGTCCCCCTCCATTTGACCGCGCAGATGCCCTTGGCTACGATTCGGACGCCCCCCCTCTTGGACGCCCCCTTTTTCCAGACTCCCTACGACATGATTTGTTTCACGACGTGGACCCCAGGAGGTCTCGACCCATTTCCCAGGAGCGGCTTTTCATCCTGAGTTGTTTTTGACGGCCCCGGGTCCCACAGAGGGCTCACAGAGGGCGAGCACAGCAGCATGGAGGATGTCTGAGCTGGACGGCCCCTAGAGGCCGAGATGGTTGGGATCACGTCGCACTCGAGCTCGATGTACGACGAGGGCGACACCGTGGTGCACGAGACCGGGCACGGGCTCGGCCTGTACCACACCTTCGAGGGGGGTTGCTCCGCCCTCAGGAGCCGGGGGAACGAGAAGCGAAGCCACCACCACCACCACCAAGGGTGCCACCTACCGCGAGGCGGGCCACGATGCCCCCCCTCCCAGCTGGGGACGGCATGTCTCGAGCGGGGAGGGGGGCCACGCCACCAGGAGGCCCCCTGGGCCCCAGACGTGCGACGTTGTGTTTTTTCGCAGCGTGGCTTCCCAGAAGTCTGGACCCTTTCCCCGGGACCAGTTCTTCATCTCGAGTCGTTTTTCTGATTGTCCGAGGGCCCTGGGAGGCTGAAAACTGACAGCAGCAGCGCGAGGACGCCTGACATTCTCGCACGACGAGAGGATGTCCGCGGTCCTCGGACCTCGTGGTGGTGCTGGTGGTGTCGTCTCCCCTGGCTCCATAACCAGGAAGGGCGACAGGGTGGATGACACGAACGCGGAGAAGCTCCCGCATTACGACTGCGCCGTGGACATGTCCTGCGGCGCGGTGGACCCGGTCCCCGGGGAGGGCGCGAGAAGGGACCCTTCGAGGCCACTGCCCACCTCGAGGGTCCCCTCCGCGCCGAGTGACCAAGACCCCTCTCGTACAGTGGAGACCCATGCCAAGAAACACCCTGCTTGCCTCCAGGGTGCCCTGGGCCTCTGGGGTTTCGATGGTCTGCTATGGAAGCCGTGATGCTCCCACACCAAAAATCAATGGGCGTCCTGGGGTCTCAGGGGCGGGTTTCTTGTCGCAGGTTTCTTGTGTTCGAGCTCCTACTGCGTGGCGAATATCGCGGCGCACGGTTCTTGCTTGTTTTCAGCCTCTGGGGGCCCCCGCCGGGCCCCAGCACCGTCAGAAAGCGACTCGAGACGGCAAGTCGATCCGGGGGAAGGGCTCCAGACCTCCAGGGTCCCACGCGCGTGCGAACACAACATGGCGTGGGATGTTAGGGTCCACCGAGGGAGCTGGGAGCCCCCCCTGATCTGGGTGCTGGTTGCCCCACCGAGACGCGATAGGGAAGCCCAGAGGGTCTGAGTGTCAAGGCCTCCTAGGTGGGGTCCGAGTAGATGGGGTCGGAGGATCGCGCCGCATCGCTGATGCATCGCCGATGCGGCTCGATGCGGAGCCCGATTTTCGCCATGCCGACGGCGCCGATGCATCGCCGACGTCGCCGATGCATCGCCGATGCATCGGCGTTACATCGGCGATGCATTTGCGATACAGCGCGATCGTTCGACCCCATCTACTCGGACCCCATCTATAGAGGCCTCTAGTCTGAGTATCCTGCCACTGGCCCCAAGACCGCGGCCAGCGCCCCTCCACGGGGGCACCGCAGGACCCTGATCTCGGCGTTGGCGGTGTCGGCGCGCGCGCATTTCAGGGGAGGGCGAGGTGCGGCACGGAAGGGGAGAGGGAGGGGGGGGTAAGGAGGGGAGGGTGGGGGGGGGGGTAAGTGGGGGAGGGGGAGGGGGAGGGAGGCAAGCTAGGTAAGCTCGCGTCATATCTGACATCCTGCCCCTCCCTCCCATCCCTTACCATGGCGTAGATCCCCTCTCTACTCGCACAGTCGGATGTCGAGCAGTGCAATGATCCCGAAAGGGTACGCGATGCATGGCATGGCATGGCGTAGAAGAGCACCGCGAAGCGTAGTATCAACCTAGCATTGCATTGCATGCCGTGGCATGGCACGGGAAATGACGCCAGCGCTGCAGCGGGAGCACGAGTCGGAGCGGAAGCACGGAAATGAGGCCAGCGCTGCAGCGGGAGCACGATTCGGAACGAGCGGGCCGAAAATGAGGCCGCGCTCAGCGAGAGCAGGCGAAAACCTAACTCCGGGGAATCCTGTGTGTAAAAAACAGTATGCGGGGGGGGCTAATTTTTTCGAACCGTCATCAGGGGAAGAGGGAGAGTAGTATTCATATTGAGTAAATGTGAAGATGAGGGGATGGGGGGCGGGGAGGAGGGGGGAAAAGAAAGAAGGGGCACGAGGGGGGAGGGCACGGGAGGGGAGGTGGGGGAGGGGAGATCGGGAGTCAAGAGGGCGAGGGGCAGGGCGGGGCCCAAGGGAGAGGGAGGTCCACAACTTCATGGACTACTCGCCAGACTCCTGCATGGTGGGCTTCACGGAGGGCCAGAAGCGGCGTGCCTGGCGCCCGCGGAGAGGGATGATATTGATGATGAGGAGGAGGAGGAGGAGGAGGAGGAGGAGGAGGAGGAGGAGGAGGAGGAGGAGGAGGAGGAGGAGGAGGAGGAGGAGGAGGAGAAGGAGGACGAGGAGGAGGAGGAGGAGGAGGAGGAGGAGGACCTGGGCCACCGCGAGGAGGCTCGCAGAGAGGTGCGAGGCTGGGTGGTCCGACGGCGTCGAGGCGTCGCAGCGAGGAGGCCGACGAGGCGTCGCAGCGAGGAGGGGCGGTTGTAAGTACCGGGCGCAGCCCGGGGGAGGGGCACGCGAGCAGCCCGCTCGCAGGGCCCGGCCGGGCACGCCGGCCAGGAGGCCTCTGGGGACCTCTCGCCGGTGGAGGCCTCGCGCCCCGGGGCGCCTTCTGGAGGCCGAGCTCTGACGCCCTGACTGCAGGGGTTCCATATGCGGCCTCCCGCAGGAGGCAGGCGCCCCTCCGCAGGGGACGGGGCCCACCCCGCGGGGGCCCTCGGGGGGACCCCCCGGATCCCGCAGCCAGCACCTCCTCTCTCCCGATGCGCGCGCGTCCTGCCCCCTCGCCCGAGGGGCGGGGAGGGAGGAGGAGGGGAGAGGCCCCAAAGCACTGCCTGGGCCAGGCGCTGAGCACGCGCGCTACTGAGCGCCGCCTGCTGGGCTGGAGGGCGAACGACCCCTGCAATGACGTTACCCGGGGGGGGGGGGGGCGCCGCGCTCCCTTCAGTTAGGACGGGGCTGGAACGAGGATGATTCCGTTCCAGATCGTCCCGAAACGCCTAGCGTTCCGGAACGCTCTGAGAGGGCCGCGACGTCCGATAGATCCTCCACAGCCGCCGGATCTCAGAGATTCTTGCGTTATCCTCAGCCGAAGTTGGCCTCGTCCTGGCTTTGTCTGAGCGAGAAAACTCGCCCTGCTCTCGGGGACCGGCGTCGGAGGCCGAAGAAGATCTGCGCGAGGCGCGGCGCGCGAGCGGTGCAGTCGGGCGAGCCCCAGTGGAGAGGGTGGATGTTAGGGAGGAGGAGGAGGAGGAGGAGGAGGAGGAGGAGGAGGAGGAGGAGGAGGAGGAGGAGGAGGAGGGACTTCAGACATTCTCGATTGATCCTCGCCCGACGTTCTCCTCGCCCTGGCGTCGTCGTAGGGGAGGCTCCGCGCTCCCCTGCCCTCCGCGGGTGAGCGGGGGAGGCTGTGCGCGGCGAGACGGGAAGCGAGGAGGGAGGAAGCTTGGTCGGGGATTCTTGGAGGAGGTGCCCCTGGCCCAGGGCGCCCCCCAGCTCTTTTCGCTCCACTCTGGAGCCCCACGGGGCCCCCTGCGCATCGCGTGCGGGGTGCTCCGGAGGCCGCGGGGGGCCTCCTTTGCCGGGCGGAACGAAGGAGGGGGAGAGTGCAAAGCCCGCCGCCGGGCCCATTCCTCGATCCATGGGCGTCTCCCGGCGCCAGAAGGCGCTGGGAAAGTCAGCTACGTGAGCTGATTCTCTACCCTACCCTTTGCCATCCCCCCCTGTCATTCCCCCCGACCTTGGAGTCCTGGGGGCAGCACCTTGGGCCCCGGGGGCACTTCCAGCAACCCCCGACCAACATAGGGGAGGAGGTGGCGGATGGGCGGGCCTCCAGATCCAGGCGACGCAGCAACGAAAAGGACGCGCGCGACGGCCAGTCTTAAGTCAGGCCTGTCCTTCTACAGGAGGAATGTATCATATGGGACGATTTGTTTTAACATTTGTTCGACAATGTGTTTAAGTATGTTCTGACTATTTTGAATTTGTCGTCCAAAATCCGCCTTTAGGGGAACATGCCCGACCTAAGGGCAGTCCCTGGGGGGGTCGGCGTTTCTCCCGACTCCTGGATGCCGCTTCGCGGCCCCGGGGCCGTCAGAAGAAACGGCTCGGGATGGAGCGCCGACCCGTCCCCGAGATCCTAGCGGTTCAATTTTGTCGAGCCAGGCGACTTGGCTGAGTTTCGGGCCTCGGGACCCTCACAGATCGATCCGACTCGAAAAGTAGCACAGAAATATGGGGTCCGCACGTGTTTATTTTGCGATGGCGCCGCTTTTTTGCAACGTCGGATCTCAGGCCTGAGCAGGAGGTAGGGATCCCCCGACCCCGAGGGCATGTGTGACTGTAACAGATTGCGACCGCGGAGAAGATCCTGATGTCCGACGTCACGGAACAATCGCAACCTCGTAAAACAAATACCTCTACAGATTGGAGCCCTGAACCCCATCTGTCCACTGCATTTCTCGAGCCTGATCGATACGTGAGAGTTCTTGACCCGAAACAAAGCAGAATCGCGCGTTGCAGCAAAAATTACGACGCCAGGGTCTCCTTGAAGGGGAGGAGGTGGCGGCGGGCGGGGGGGAGGGGCAGGTGCGTGTTCGAGAAGCACCGACCGGGCCTCTTCGAGATATCGCTCAAGGACAGCTAGGCGTGTCCTGCAGGTGCGACAACCAGCTCGGCAGGGCCACTTGAGTTCGGTGCTGTAAGGAAAAATCCTGGACGCCTCGCGCGGCGCGCAATAGTTGAATCATCTAGTCCACACGTCAGATCCGTAGGCTACCAGTCGACTTTCGCGGCGATGTTCCGGCGTCAGTCCGACGTTAATCTGACGTAATTCCGATGTAATCCGACGTGAACCCGACGTAGATCCGACGTGGATCCGACGCCAATGTGCTCTCAAGTTGCCGCGCAAGGCCTCCGGGATTTTTTCCGTAACGGTGTCCTCCGCCGCAAGCGGGCCGTGCCGCGCCTGCACCTTTGCCGGGCGACGCGAGCGGCGCGGCAGTAGTCTTTCGCACGTGGCCGCCTGCGGCGGTTTGTCTTTGGCCTGATGCTCCTCGGTCTCCTCGTGCTTGCCTGCTCCGCCTCCTCCTCGTCGGCCGTCGTTCTGAGTGCCCGTGCTACCTTCTCTGCACCTCCCCCTCTCCGCCCTTTGGAGAAAGCAGGGCGAGGTGGTGCCGCAGACGACGGAGGAGCAGCAGGAGCAGGGGGGAGGTCTTGGGAGGATGAGGAGGATAAGGAGGCAGTGGTAGTAGACCGAGGAGGGGCAGGATCATCAGGACGATGAAGGGAAGGCCGAACGAGGAGGAGGAGGAGGACCCGAGTAAGCTAAAGACGCATCAGCGGCGTTGCAAGAAACCCTCCCTCCAAGCTCCCGCTTCATTGGTCGCTAGAAGAATTGATGCGCATTGCCAGAGATGGCCCACTGATTGAAAGACAACCGTCCGACAAATCGACGAAAGGGCATATTTCATTTCCCCTGGATCCAAAAGGACAAGAGAAAAGGCAATACCACAA